CACTGCACGTTCGTACTCTTGTATTATCTAAACGATGACGGTTAACGTTCACAGCGGCGCACTGCATATCTCAAATAGTTCCTGAAGTACTATTGGCTTTGTCACGATATTTACTAGCAAATGCTTTTCATGAGACAGTTTTTCATGGAGGTAATTTTTGGAGAAAGCAAGAATTAAAGATCATTATCCGCAATTTATCTCCAAACAAAAAGTGGGCGTTCAAACTAGTATCTGGCGACGGAGATTGCCGCTAACCCTTGAAAACTGTTCATTCTGCTAGGACTTGTAAAGTTCGCTGTTTACAGTTTACCTGAAGCAATGAAGCCTTCAAATTGGACATTAGCTTCTCGAAGAAGAAATATTTGCAAAACGGACACTGTCCTGAGGGTTCTGCTTAGGTGGCTGGTGAAGAAATCAAAGAAGTCACAAGCTATGTATACCCTGATCGTCAGGTGGTGCATATGAACTCGCTAGTTAGTGAAATCAGCCAAAGAAGGAAGGCGGCATGGACCGGCTTTAATCGTATTAAAACATCTTCACTCGACAGTTAGCTGCCCATGCCGTCAATAAAGAACTGCTCGATTCGATCGTTCTACCCTCCATGATCTACGGCGCTGAATGTTTATCTGCTACTACAGCTTAGGAGAACAAACTGATGGTCACTCAAGGAGCGACGGAGTGAAAAATGTGCAGTGACCCTCCTGGATCACGTTTTTAGCGCACAAATTCGACAACAGACTGGATTAACGGACGCAATATCTCCTTCTGCGACGTCAACGGAAGATGGGCCATTCATGTAGTTTGCCTGAGACGACAAATAGTGGACATCAAGAATTTTAAAAAAACTAGATCTCTTAAGCAGTAACGTCGAATCGATCGTCGAAGAACATGCTGGGATGATCCGAGGATCAAATTATTTGGTCAGCGGTCGAGGCAGAAAGCGGGATAACGGATAGCTATTGGAAATTGACCAAAAATTTTTGAGCTGAAAAGATTACGAGTTAGACCCTTGAAATGACATATCAACAGCGTAACCCGTTTTTATTTTAGCAGTTATTCATTTTTTAGCTACCTTAGTGAAATTTCCTTAAGACCAAAAGAAATCTGCAAGGACAAAGCTTATAGGCTACATTCAAACAGAAGCTTAAACTCAATTACATTTTAAAGCTTTGAAGTCTGTTTGGCATGGCAGTCAGATAGATTTTCTTTCAGCGTCTTATGCACGTCATCACAATTAGCAGGGTTAATCTTGAATGCCTTTGAGAAAGAATTGTGTCAAAATGAAGATATTCTGCCAATTCGCTGTGCAGTGACCTGCCTATTTACAATAAGGCAATGAGCAATAAAGATGATCATGACGTGGAGGTGATGCTTAGCTGGCCGTGACACGATTTCATTGGCCAGTCGGCTACATTACTGGTCATTTTTTGTACTGCTATCGACCATCTCAGACTACGTTGTTGAGCTCTCGTCTTTCAAAGACACGCAAACTTCAATGAATTGTGCAATAAACTATTAGACCCGCTTTCCGTCCTTCAGTGACGAATTTACCAGCACAAACGTGTCAGGGTCATTCTGATTCTGCGATTCGAACTGAAATAATAAGACGACGTGTGAAATTGCATTTTGAGCTGAACAACCGACAGTGACCACGATCCTATACATCACTGAGTTTTCTTCTTGGAAGAGGTAGAAACTCAGCTTATATGTAGAAGACGGCGAAATCAGTAGAAAAAAAAACAAAAAGAAGCAACGTTTGTAACTTGTGGGATTCGGCCCGCCATACACTTTCGTAATGGACTATTCGTGAAATCTTTCTCCTTGTGACTCGCATGCCTCAGATTTCCGTTGCGTTGCCATCACCAAACAGCGCTACATTTGAAAGGCAATGTCCATGATTATGTTAAGAACAGTGTGTAATCTGATGCCTTTTTCTGTGTGGCCGCAGTCATCTATGAACGTGAGAAGATGGATAAACAAGTGATCCAATCTGCGGATGAACTCGCTGTCTTTCGGCTGCAAATCACTTTATCGATTGACTTTATTGTTGTCCCAAATAGCCGAGCTTGACTGTGGCAAAAGGGACCTCGCCGTCAATGCGTCTTAATTTACCCTTCTTTTGTAAATTTAAATAAATTACTGACAAAGTTGGTGCTTTACTACGCTTAGAGTTGAAAGCGTTCAATATGAAGAACACAGAAAAGTAGCCTTTACGTTAGCAGCTGAATGCATTTTATTGCTCATGCTCCGTTACTTATGCCATATATACTTTTTCTTCCATGTTCG